TCCTGCAAGAGGCACTCAAGTTTCACTCAGAAATGAAATGTCCTTATGTACAATCTTTGGGGGGCTTAGGGGGAGGGATCATTGAAAACAGATTCTTACCATTCTCATTAGGCTCTGTTGGCTGGGACACGTCTCTGAACGGGATTATAACTGCATCTCCAGGCACTCTGGGGCTTTCCACATACTTGGGCTTCCTGACGGGACCTGTAGTGGGAAAGATCTGAGTGTGGCTAATTTTTTCCAGATGCAAAGTTCAGCATGTGCAGTGTGTGTCCTCACCAGGACCCAAACATGCCTAAAGGAAGAGCCAGCCCTCTCCCCTCCCTTGAGCGCGCGCACGCGCACGCACACACACACACACACACACACACACACACACACACACACAGTCATCTCAGTACAGACACGGGAATGTCCGGCCTGGGCTGCCAAAGAAGAAGTGGGTAAGGTCAGTTTTGAGAATGTAAACTTGGACAGAAACCAAGCTGCTCTTCTGCGGTGACGTCCCTACAGCTGTCCTCGGTGTGTGTCAAGCAAGTGATTTTGACATGTTCAAACCTGGACAGCTCGTGGCGAAGGTTTTATCTTTGGAATTTTTCTCCAACTGGGACAAAGATGATTGGGTGGCTTGGTCTCTCCGAAGTCAGGAGGCAAGGATTGCAAACAGCCAGCCTGTAATATCAACACACTCTGAGCAGCCTCAGAACGCAGGCATTTTATCAGGCTGTGACGCATGGCAACTGTGTGGGGCAGAGAAGACGACTGCTTTCTTGGCAGCTGACATGGCTGCCTGCACATAGGCGCAGCAGGCAGTCTGGTGTGTGAGTCAGAGATACAAGAGAGCTTCAGAGTCAAATCTCTCCCTTCTCCCGCAACCCCAGCTTATGGGGAAATCTGGAATTCTTACTAAGACTGAATGGAACCCTCCCACGTTGCGAGGGCAGTGCACAGCAGCCACTCTGGAAAACAGTTTGGCAGTTCCTCAAAAGGGTTAAACACAGAGTTATCAATTGACCCAACAATTCCACTTCTATGTGCATGTACATTCCCACAGAAATTTGTGCGTGAATGTTCCTAGCTGCATTATTCATAACAGCCAAATGTCCATCAACTGATGACAAGATGTTATATATCCACACACTGGAATATTATTGGGCAATAAAAAGGAATGGAGTTCTGATTCAGGCATGCCATAACATGGGTGAAACCTGAAAACATTATGCTAACTGAAAAAAGCCAGTCGCCAAAGACCACATACTATATGATTATATTCATATGAATGTCTGGAAGAGACAAATTAATAAGAGACAAAATATGAATGGTTGCCAGAGGCTGGGAGATATGCAGACTTATGGGGTGATGGCTTACGGGTATGGGACTTCTTTCTAGGGTGATAAAAATGTTCTAAAATTAGGGTGTGCTGATGACTGCACAACCTGTGACTATGCTAGAAATTGCTGTAGTGTACATTTTAATGAGTGAATTGTATGCTATGAGAATTGTATCTAAATAAATCTGCTTACTCCCAAAAAAGATTACCTATTTTGTCTGCTGCTTTGAAACATCATATTACATTTTGGTCCCAAATCTCACTGGACTCTCATTTTCCTTGATTGCCTGATGCTGAATGTGGGCTTTTAACAAGGCCACAGAGCCAGGAAACCTTTCACACAGGTCAAGAGCAAGGGTGGTGGGAAGAGGGCCAGATAGGGGTCCACAGCTCTCCCAGCGGCTCAGTCCTGACCCCCTGGGGGCCTCAGCTCCATCACCACACACTGAAGGGATGAGTCAGCCTAATTCTGAGCATCCTCCCGTGTCAAACATCTTACACATCTGAGAAATTCTGTTCCGAATGAGGTTTATGGTGAGAGATGCTGCCATCTAAAGGTTTCCTGCAAAAGCATCTCTACCACCATAAAAATAATCCAATGCCCAGACAGCTATATAATGTACCACCTCTTAAAAAACAAAACAAACAAACAAAAAAAAACCCTACGTTATCAAAGAAATGCATGGTACTAGCAAATAGGGATATTATTTCCAACTTTGGACACCCTGGTTTCTGAAACCTTTTTCTCCTCCAGGATCCAATCTGAGATTCCACTGCATTCCGTGGTGTTTAGTCATCTTGTCTCCCTCCTTTCTCTTCCTGGCAATTCCTCAGTCTTTCCTTGTTTTTCATGACCTTGACTATTTTGAAGCCTACTGGTCGGTATTTTACACTATTTCCCTCCATTTGGATTTGTCTGATGTTTTCTTGGGATTAGACTTGGGTTAAGGCTTTTGGAAGAACACCACAGGGGCGGCATGCCCCCTCATCACATCTTATTGTGATATCTCATGATTTCAACATGACTTTTACTGGTGAAATAACCATGATCATTTAGGGAGGTCTATCAGGTCTCTCACTATCAGGTTTTCAGTTGTCTTTTTCTTTCCTCTGCTCCTTCTAAGTGAGTCACTAAGTTCAGACCACACTCAGAGGAGAGGAGAATTAAGGTCCACCTCCCAGAGGAAAGAATGTCAAGAAAATTTTGGATATTTGTTTAAAAAAACCACAGTAATTAGTAAGTGTTTTGGGGGAGGTACTTTGAGCTAACTTCAGCACTCATCTGTGGTGCCACCTGCAGCATTTATTCCTGAGGTGCTCCAATGGTGATTTTATCCTTTCCTCATTTCTTTACATGTATTCTTGGGATTCTTCTCTAAAAAATATCTGTCCATGTCAGAAAGGGATTGCTGAAAGGTTAAAATGGAATGGTTATGGGGGAAAAGGGAGAATATAGTCACAATATAGGCAGATGATACAGGCTTCATAACAGAATACAAAGCACAATTCAGATTTTATCTAAGACATAGACATATCTATATAGGAATATGTGTGGAGGGAAAGACAGGGGAAAGGGCAAACTAGGAAACTAAGAAACTAAGATATTTGCTGTGGAGAACCCAGAAATTGGGACGGGCCCAAAGAGGGCAGGTAGAAAACGGAACCAGGACAAATATGAGAATCTTTCTTCATGTTTGGTTTGGGACCTATTCCCTACGGTAAAGAGATCGCAGATGTATTTCTCTCTGGTCATCTGTTCTTTTCTATTTAAAGTACTTAGGAGAGATAATGAACTTTATTATTATTGCCTGATTATTCGAATTGCCCCGTGAGCAACCATGCCACTTACACAAGAGTTACCTGTAAGTTTCTGCTCACTGTAACTCTTTAGGGTATAGTAACAGCAGATCTAAAACAGATCTACTTCCTGGCTCCAAGCTACCTACCCCATACGTCTTCAAAAATATTCTCTAATAGTAAGTACTTTCTTAAAATGTGGGTTATGTGCCATGAGCACACAATGGTCATTATGAACGGCTGGAACACTGAACCCCAATGTCACGCAGTGCCTTCAGAAAGCATTCATGCCCACCCATTTAATTGTCTGAACTGTGTTCTGTTCAGAGACCAACCGCTAACTGTAATAATTACTCAACACTGAGGAGTGAGGGTATCAAGAGTCTCTAGGCTGACCACAGTGAGCAGTGATGCAAGATACAAAAGGAGACCTAGAATATACTAAAGTAAATAAGATGTGTCCTACGTGGTCACACAAGACTAAGCACTTGCAAACATTAAATCATTCAAACCTAATAACTTAGGGAGAAAAGCACTATTTCCCCCATTTTCAGTTCAGGAAATTGAGGCTCCAACCAGTTAATCTGCTCATGGCCCAGACATGGCAAAGCAGAAATACCAACAGTTCTGGGGTCTGTGCAAGTGTGAAGCCCACATATCAACCCTCCCTTAGCACTTATAAAAGTAGGAAATCCAGATTAAATCTGCGTTTATAGAAAAGGCCAGGGCAGTGGAACCTCCCACCATCCAATCGTCCATGGACCTTGGCTGAACAGTCATGCTTACTTGTCTCTGATCCCCTCTAACTTTTACTAGGATTTGAAGTATTATGAGGTGAATATAAACAACGGCTCTCCAACATGGTCCTTTTATTTAAGTAGCTTTTTACAAAAAGCAGGGCCTCAAACACTATAAAACAAGGGAAGTTTATAACCACAGGGGTTTATTCATCCCCCTCTAGATTGCTCATTAGAGAATTTGTGTGCACTTTCCATTAAACATAGCAGATGACACTTGTTTGCCTTCTCTCCCTTTTAAAATATTAAAGTTGCAGTAAAGGGATTTGAAAGAGACCAACAGGGAAAGGAGACAACCACAGGCCAGAAACCAAACTTCTGAAAGTTGGAAACAGATTGCCAAGGAGCAGTGGATGGAGCCGACTAGAAAAGGTGAGTGCTGGCAGGGAGGCAGGAGAACTCAGTTTCAGACAGGAGACACCTCTGAAGGCAGGGGCACAGGTGGGGTCAAACACACGACAATGGGTTGAAAATCTATTTACGACCTCACCCCCCGACTCCAAACCAGGAGCTTCCCTTCCCTCATCCTGGAGACTGAGTTTTTCTTTGAAAAGGTTGAAAACGAAGACAACGGAGACGCAAGAGCTGAACTCTTGAGTGCTACACTAAGTAATAGATTAAGGAAAAATTCTACATGCAGATTGGTGGGTCCAATGTGGACGCATGCTCCCTCTTAGTTATAAAAACACCAACAACAACAAGCTAGCCCACCACAGCAAGAAGAAACTAAAGGATTCCTCTCTGGGGGAACTCAAAAGAGAAAAGGACCTATAAATAATCACAGTTGGGGACATGCCAAGAAATGACGGGCCCTATCCTGGCGAGGTAGCTCAGTTGATTACAGCATTACAGATTAAGGAAAAATTCAACATGCAGATTGGTGGGTCCAATGTGGACGCATGCTCCCTCTTAGTTATAAAAACACCAACAACAAGCTAGCCCACCACAGCAAGAAGAAACTAAAGGATTCCTCTCTGGGGGAACTCAACAAGAGAAAAGACCTATAAATAATCACAGTTGGGGACATGCCAAGAAATGACGGGCCCTATCCTGGCGAGGTAGCTCAGTTGATTACAGCATTGCCCGGATACACCAAGGTTTCCGGTTTGATCTCTGGACAGGACACATAGAAGAATCACCCAATAAATGAACAAGGAAACAGCACCCTTAAACGATACACTAGATAAGATGGATTTGATATTTGCAGAACATTTCATCCCAAAGCTGCAGAACATACATTCTTCTCAAGTGCACATGGAACATTCTCAAAGACAGACCAC